GGCCTTTCATCCCCCAAACCATTCCAAAATCAAGAAACCTAGCTAGGAAATTCTGTTTCACCCATTGCATTTTCGGCACGTCGATACGTCAGACAACTACCTCGTTAACATCAATTTCACACTTTTCTCGTGAGAGCAAGTCCTCTAATGCGGCAGCTATCAGAATCCAGAGAATATTACGTCTTAAGACTGACCGTAATTAACAAAGAAATGACAGCTTACGAGGAAGTAGATAACCAAGAGTGATACAGAAACCTAGCAGATTAATCCGCACAGAAACGAGGCATTAACAATCAACACATGGCTGGTCACAAATAGAACGACATATGACGATTTAGCAAGGCGAATATGAAGACGGCAAAATACATCAGAACCAAAAGCAATGCAATTGGCATCGAATGAAAAGAAAGTGCAAAAAACGAACTGATACCTGGGTGATCAGACGTGGCAATTTCAACGCCAATTCGGCTATCCTAGGCAGTAGTTGTTCGCAATCCGGTTGCATTTGTAGGGCCATTGATAAATGATCAAAATTCCACACTTCCGCGAAACGTGTGTTGTAAGAATGGACGGCTGCCTACAGTAAATATAAGGAATTAAAACGTGCATGAGCTACTCAAGGAAAAATTACTAATCTGTGCTTACAGCAAAGTCTTGCACGGATCTTATAGGAGCAGAAAGGGCCCTTTCAATGAGACTCCACCGACTGACCGAATTCCCCTTAAAGAAGATTAAATCAAATTTGGATTCTTTGAGAGTTAAAGTTCAGTCAAACGTGAAATTAATACATGACCCAGTGCAAAATACTATTATAAATACATTTTCATGGTATAAGTTGTGAGGTGAGGAGGGCATTTTCACGTGGAAGGAATTCCATTTGTCTGTGAACTCAGTCGACGTCGAACACGGCTTCGCGTCTCCATTTTCCTGGAAATAAACAGCTTACTAAGTTGTGAACAAAATACCTTACCTTGGATAAAGTTGTCTCGCTAAAACTTGCGCTTATGCTGGGTTCTAACTCACTATCCATACTTTCTACCTCTGAATTCTAAATGGATGGTTTAATCAAGCAAATGAACTGACCTGCCATGTAAAAAGTTTATTTGGGAAAATACTTGAAGAAATAGCAACCACATTCGTTAACGGCTTGCATGAGACACTAAATAGAGAAAAAGAAACAAGCTAGAACCTCTGAATATCTACCCAAATAAACCACAAGTTCTACACCAGCGAGGTGTATAAAAAACAGGAAAACATAACAGACAGCTGAGTTCCAGAAGCAAATTGCGGCGAATATATTAGTATTAATTAACACTTGCAATTACGTGACTCCCAATATTTGTTTGATGCCGAACAAACCCAACCCTAAAACCCGCAATAAACATTTGCTCTGAAACATTTCACGCACAAATCTTGTGAAGAATAGGATTATTTTAGAATTGGAATTATTATACTGAGATTAAAGCGTGAAATGAAAAACAAGGCTAAAAAAAGGAAAAAAACGTATAAAAATATATGTGACTAAGACCTATGATCCATGCGGAGTTTTTTCGAAGGTCTGTCGAATGACTCTACTAAAGTCAACTGTCGCTTTTGGGAGTTTAAAGTATCATCCATTTTATATTCCGTGGGTAATTCTCATTGGTGATCCTGATCTTCAAGGACTAATAACTCCAAAAGAGACTTCATTAAAATTTATTTATTTTTCGTTAGAAAATAAGATTCCGGTATTTTATTTTACATGAGAGAGTAGTGCAGTAGTCTTTGTCTGTTCTTACCTAGGTAGTCTAAAGCTGTCGGAAAGAGTTAATTTTTTGATTGCACTCTGTTTAATCAGCGATAAACTTTGGAAAATTTCCATTAATAGAGTGTTCCAAATACTATATGTGTTGGCATCATGAAACTTGCATACAAAATATTGCCTCTCTTAAAAAGTTGTTGTGCAAAAACATTAACAGTTTTATTGTTTTAGACTTTGGATTTTAAATTCGCAAAGGTGTATTCAAAACGGCAAATTTTTATTTGTAGCAGTTTAAAATGGCCTTTGGACACCTTTGGACCTCTATATCAGTCTTGAATGGCGTTTACTGCCATCTTTAAATTCCATTAAATTTTGCTTCCCATTCAGACGTTCGAGTATTTAAATTCGGCATAAAATAAAATCTTTATACTTAGTACTGCACAACTTTTGTCTTCTTTAATGCAAATTCGCATCCATATTGGTATGTTTTTACTAACATTTTCCGATGTCATTTTTGACTATATTTAAATATCAATCACGATTTTCGGGTAAAAATTGGCTTTCAGGCAAACCTAATTTGCTTTTGTACTTTATGAGGGCTTCATGTAGGATTGGGACGGACTGTCAGAGCGTCCGAGTGAAAATCCTCCGATAGTCATGGCATATGACCTCGTTCTAAAATCACCAAATTGAATGTTTTTGGACATTTCAGCAAAACTGAAAATGAGTGATTTCGATTGCATAATAACTTGCCCAGGATGACTTGGTTTAAGTCACAACCAAGTAGATAGATGATAGGAGTAATACCCTAAACACACTGAAACAACAACTGCGAACACGGTTGACACGCGACTAGGTGTTTCCCCAGGCAACTGTGCTATAGCAAACCAAAAACCCCTTTCGGGTGATGTTCAATCGATGTCAAGGAAATGTCAATTTGCGATTGGGAAATAGAAAGAAATGCAGGGAATTCATCCAACATGGAAAAGTGAACCCTTAATTTGAGGTTGCACGCTCTCAACAACGATCGTTTCTCAGTAAACATGGACACAAAAAGGAACGATTTCCATGCAAAAAATTTTGTTTTTTATCAGCATACATCTGTTGACTCCAATAAGCAAGACCTGTTAAAAGCAGCAGTACGTGAAAGGCATTTGTGGCAAAGTCGGAAGATTTTTCTCCTGAAACGGTGCCCACTCGGTGTGACTAATTGGTTTGTTTGGGGACACGATGTCAAAAAAATAGGGCATTTAAAATTATTTCAGCTCTACAAAAAAGCGTAAGCGTGTATGACTCATTTCTTCTCTTGTTCCACCAGAAATTGCTCCACAACTCGTCGCTCAGATTCCACTCGTTCTTCGAGGTTGCTCAACTGCTTCGGGTCTAAATCTACGATGCTGATGTTGAGTATGGTTTTGGGGACACATGGACAGTCTCCACCAACCGTCAACACGCCTTCCGGGCAGCTACAAGCAAATAAATGTTGTAAATGACACAAAGAATGGTTACTCCTGATGACCGATTCCAAAAATTCGGGAACAAAACTAGGTGTTATAAATGAACCATACTGATAGAAGTGGTGTAAGACAAAACAACAATAGTTAACCTCCAGTTGCTCTAAGATGATGTTGATGACAATAGCTGGCAAAAAACTCACTCTGATTTGGCCCGCTGGAAAGTGAGCATCACCGAACAATCACGAGCGACCATTGCAACCAAGTGCTTTTCCACCTGCAAAATTAAACGCACCAATCAACACCTCCACACGGTAACAAATTACGCTTTAAATATGACAATTTCAGCCAATCGCATCCACCCTACACTAATGTTTATGTCTGTGAAGAAGCTGAGTCTCGAATATTTTGACTTCACACTGGACCACAAGACTCACATCCCTTTCGTTAGACATATCAAATGCATTGGGTAAGTTTCAAACATATTTTGTGCTAAGAGGTCTTGTCAACCAGGTAAACAGGAGTTGGAAATGGTTTTGAGTAAGTTTTTTTTATCCGGAGCACAACATTCTGTAGTGTGGCGACGAATCAGGGCGCAGACATATTAGACCACCCGGCCTCAGTCAATCCTGTGTCTCTCTGCGTTCCAATGGCATGCGAGGAAGAGAAGCAGCCAACCAGAGGAGGACACGAATGAGGTGCAGCATATAATTAGCGGTGTGGCCAGCGTCGTGGACTCGGATGGAATGCACCTGACGTGTGGCTTTGGCTTGTGATTGGTCAATAAAGCCTGTTCTGTTGTATCGGTCTTCTTCCTATTAGGGCTCGGGTAATCTCCAGTAGCGACGTCTGAAGGCGCAGACATATTGGACCACGCTGGCCTCAGCCAATCCTCGATCTCTGTGCGTTCCAATGGCATGCGAGGAAGACATGCAGCCAACCAGAGACAGACACTTTTGAGAAGCGATATAAGGTGATCAGCGCAGCCAGCCTGGTAGGCTCGGAAAGACGGCACCTGACATGTGGTTCTGGCTTGTGATTGGTCGATAAAGCCTGTTCTGTTGCACCAGTCTTCTTTTTATTAGACCTCGGATATTCTACAATTCGTCATCTTTTCAAGGCACTATCTACAACTCTCAAACAGCCAATGAAGTACCCGTATTTCAACGAGGATGGTTGTGATACAATATTGCTTAGAAAGCCCTGGCATTAACCAGGAAGACTGATGTTTGCGGTTTATGCGGGCAGAACGCTAAATGATTACTACCGATGTTTACTCATTAACTACATCCACCGCATCCCACATCACATAAAGTGTCAGGAAATCGCCATAATTTGATTGGCTTACCGACTCTAATGGTGCAGACACCAAAGTCAACACAATACAAGTTCACTGAACCGGCAAACATACTAGTTCAAGACTTCTGACGAGGTCGGAAGGCGTTTCCTCCACGTTCACGGTGACCTTTCCGGCGATGTAGGAGGTCCTGAATCGGCAAGAAAATCACTAAAACCAGTACTGGGCTCACAAAAACACCACCAAACGAAATGCACCTGGAAGCTTCACGGCCAATAAAAATGATCTGCTTATAAAAGGTAGTGTATCAGCTGGGAAAATTGCTAAAACACACGAGGTACAAGGGGAATCAATGCGTATTCTGGCTTGCACAGCAGACGAGAGATGATTCGACAGTTCTAAGGGCGCGACCTACTGAAACAGCTGCCAATGTGCGCATTTGCACATTCGTGCAACCACCTATTGCCTTTAACACGATCAGCCATAAGACGATAAGCAGTAACCGAGGTACGGGAGGAAATGACCATTAAACTTCTAGCTGATGTAGGAGAGGATGCGGGTTTGGTCTAATGTAGACATTCAAATATGTGTGTGCTGGTGTGGGATTTTGCTGTGCAAAATTCTCACCAGGAAATATCGTGTTCCTCGAAATACGCGGCAACCCGTTTGTAGTGCTCAATCATGTCTTGGTGACTAAGAGAGCTCTCTAACTGAGCATTCAGAATCCGACCAAGCGCCGAATTCAGGGGCAGATCACAACACCGGGAAACGGAGCTGGGAACGTAGGAGGAGGAGGAAGATGTGTCTACAGCAAAAAAATGAGACCGCGTTACTCAGGGAGACAATAACCCACTTTCGGTTTACGCAGCTCACCCTGTAAAACCGGAGAGGGGAGGTGAGGATGGAGGTCACAGTCGTAGCGGAAATGGGGCGACCTCTTAATGACACTGGAAGCGGAGGAAGGCGATTCGCTAAGGAGCCCGGCCAAGATCAGATCGGTGATGAGGCGATGGCGAAGGGGGATTGGACGGGGCAAGTGGATACGGCAAGTTTCATTAGGGTAAGACTCGCTGTCATCCGAAGAGGACTCTTCGGGACCTCTGCAAAAAAAGCACAGCACCTAGTCAGACACTTAACGACAGATGCCCGGCCAGAACAGCTTAGCAATGCGCAGAATAACCAATAATCACTGTAAACAGCAAGTTCGTCGCTCCTTATCCACACTTACAAGCTTCAAATCTTGTTATTCAACAACATGGGACGACTCTAGAACACTTTGAATCACCTAATTTGCAGTCTAACCAAAGTCACGTCGAATTCTTGAGGTCATTCACCACTGCCAGTAAGTGAACACGATGTTTAGTTTGACTTACGCACTAACCAGGCCAAAATTACACACACACACGTAGCGGACCATGCTTCGTCACGACAATCAACTCTGTCAACAAGGGTTTAACCTCGAGAAACCTTGGGGAAGCCGGCGTTCCCTAGGACTGTACCGTATAATTAGGATTTCATAATTGTCTAGACGACTTCCCTCAAATCACCCCACCCCTAAGGCCTAACACTAACAACTTCCATCTGTGTTGATCGCTCCCTATTCATCAGACAAACGCACGTCACTCGGCTACTGGTTGAACGAGGCCTCTAGCGTTTGTCCCAGCTTTAAGGAATCGGTCTGGGTTCATTTAATTCCACACGGTGCCGCAGCAATGCTCTCTCCCGTGGACTTTTGTGACCCCGTGTGAAACGACACAACAGAATTGAGCCAACAGATAAGCACAGTTCTCTCTCTCTCTCCCTCGCTCTCGCTTGGCTACTCACGAGCTGAGAAGTGGAGGAGTGCAGTCGACAGAATCACCCGAACTGTAGTAATTCGCCTCGACGCCAGTGTTTGTGGAACACTCCGCGGTTGCAGTGTCGCCCTGATCGCAGTAAAAGAAGTCCGCCAGTGCGTCGTCAAGGTGATCGATGCGGTTGTTTAAAACGCAGCGGCTATTCTGTGAAGTAAAACAAAAGGTTCAACAAAATGCATATAAAGCAAGCTCAGTTGAGCGAGGGGCCATTAGGGAACTTAGGGGTTCGGGTGGGGGGGTTTGCTAGAACCGTCTGAGAGGGTGAGTCACGAATACTACCACTGCCCCTCTGGAACAGGCAAAACCTACGAGTTGTCACATCGTCGGCTGAGTTGTTTTGACAAACATCGATCCACACACCCGTGTCATCGATCGACTGATTGATTGGACTGGGGCGGAAATTGACCAATGACAAGGCGAGTTTGAGTGGATGTGGCAACTCATGTTCAGGAAGATCGAAAAAAATTGGAAAGTAGACGGTTAAAAGGGATCAAGAACTTACAAGGAAGACACGGAGGTTATTCTGACGAACTTCAAGCATCGCCTCGAGAGCGCGCACCATTCGTCCAGGAGTCCTTTAAATCAATCACGGAGATTTAGTGTTTGGCTTTAAAAGTGAACGTATCGCGTGGTTAATTCGATTTCGGTAAAATTCAGTCCAGGTAGTGTCAACACCAAAATGTACAGTTTTCCCCAGTCGAGACGTGATGAGTTAGTCAAGTGACGTAGCGAATTTGCACTCAACTCGTGGCTAATACGTTGTGCCCAGAATTCAGATCAGACTACAAATCCGCAAAACGCACCGTCTCTAACTCTGAGAGCCACAAGACTCCAACACAGAATTTACTACGAACCCGATCAGAGTTTTAACACAAAACCGTGAGAAATAACGTTACACATCCAAACATTTTAGTCCAGAGGCGATCAGTATTTGACAACGATCCTTAGATCACATTTTAACGAGACTGTTTGATCGATAATAGTAAAAACGAGCGTATAACGTACCCAGAAAAGAGGTCACATGGGCAGTACGATGATCGGCGACCCCACATTCTCATTTTTGTCTAAAATTTAACCAAAGTGTCAAGTAGCAAAGGAGCCATACATGTTTAGTGTCGATCAGCCTCAACAATCGACAATTTCATTTTAAGCACGCTTAAAACTACTGAGCTACTGTCCTACGAGTATGCTTTGCAGGTAGGCTTCACATTACACCCACTTCCTGCGACCTGGTCGATTACGCGTGATTGTTACATTCCCACGCACAAATTAAGTTTACCTAACGCATGACGCCACGATTAACACCGACAAATCGCACAAAAAATAAGGGTAAGGGAGCAATAACTCAGGCGCAGCAGCGTGGGTAATAAACGCTGAATGAAAACAACCGCGATTCCGCCGCCATAGGCTCCGTGTCGCCAGAACTTCCTCGCTGTCGGAATGCACAACAGTGGATCTCAGTGTGCTCAAGCAGTCAACGGAATGACGCCTCACCTCGTGGAACTGCATTATGCAAAACATCGCGTTGCGTCGAGTTGCCATCTCCACTGGGTCGCGTTCCGGTCCACGAGGAATTGCGCCGAACTTGGGCTAAACGAGATGGAGAGCAATACGGGTCGGTAAAATTTTGTCTGCTAGGGAAAAGATATGCTCAGTTTGTTCACGGCTACGGCAACACCGAATGGCTTTTAGCGCAATGATGCAGTAACAGGACTTTACGGCGGGTAACATCACCTCCCAAACAGACTACAATGCAATCTACCTGTAAAGCACACTAAATGTGATTAAAATTAGAGGTTGTGAGGAAAGAATGTGTTCAACTGAACCATCAGGCTGTCTATATGTGAAAACCGAAATTCCTTTCTTGTCGAAGAAGAGGAATCGGTTGAAGAGGGCCACGAGGTAGCCCAGTTCGACTGAAGGCCATATTTTACAAACAAGCCCTTCAGAGACAAACTGACAGCTTCACACCAAACCTGCATGCACTGCTCGCGATAGTAGAGGCGGATAATTAATAGAGCTCAGTGTAGAATTCAAACAGAAGGGGATATTTAATTACAGCCAATCGCCGATGCATGCTCTTTGAAGGTCAATCCTCGGTTTAGCCAATCACGTGTGAAATAGACAATCGGGGGCCACAAGTGTAGCTGACAGTGCCAAGCCAACCTCTTAACGAAAACACGGCTGTCAAATCACACGCGCAGATAGCACAGTTTCAAATTATAGGCCTTAGATCTGATTCTCGAGTCTATGGCGGAAGCTGTAATGTCAACCGCACATCAAATGACCCACGAAAACAACCAATAAGCCCACGTCACAGCGTGAAGACGACAGATAGATGGTACTGTTTTGTGTAACAAGCAAAACGTTCAAATAGAGCGACAGGTCACAAGGCGCTGGACCTGACATTGAAGGGGCATTGCGGAACCAATCAACTTTAAGAATCCCTTCCTGTCTACCCGCGAACATTTCGAGACACGCGACTAAGAAATCAGGGCACCCAAATACCCAAGACACGGAACTGCGAGTCTATCGTTATTAACTACAAACTCGTCTCCACTGTGGTGAATTTTGTCTAGTTCACTTCGGAGGCGGCGACAGTGAGGAGGACTAGAATTTGTCCAATTGACGAGATGTGCAACCCCGAACAAGACGGTGAACCCGAGCCACAAACTACTGACGCCGCCTAGATGCTAATTTAATAGTTCGCGCCAAAAAAGTTCACACATGTGCGTGTAAGGCGTAGCAGAACCAATGACGTATTTCTGTCCGGTGGCGTGGTTTGACCAAATCAGCAACATCTTGGTGTGACCATACATAGAAGATCGCTTCGAGGGGCAGCTGACCTTGGGATAACCAATCACGAGGCTCTCATGGGAGTGACTTGAACACGTGATAGCGGAAGGGACTGACGCCATGCGTCAAAAAAATACAAGTAACTGTAGGCTCTAGTCGTAGTCTAGGATGATCTAGAGCCCATGAAAGGAGTAGAGAGGTTCGGTTGAGGACGTCTCATGGGATCCAACGGTACAGTGACAGCCGAATAGAGCGTCAAGCGATGAACAGCAGATCCACAACAAAGGGAATGATCCAAGTTCAACAAACACATCACAGTGACCCAGCAGTGGTGTTGTGTGCATAAGCAAAAGTCACGTTAAGGGAGTCCATTCGATATTGAAGTGGCTTGCGTTGGGGTTTTTTTGTATTACAGTTTGTTGAACTTATCAGCCGACAGAAAATCGCGTCCAGAAATAATCTGGTTCACTAAGTTGAAAGGCAGGAAGGACCAAAATCAGTGTAATGTATCGCGAACTCACTAAGGCCAATGTCGACGACACCCTCGAATAGAATATCAACGACAGGATTATCTGACTGTGAAAGCTGCTACAATTAACGCCTAACTAATAGCGCGAAGTAAACACAACAAACGACAGTTTCTATTCATTATCATCGCAACCGCAGAAAATTTGCCCTGCAATTTTGGTGCTCAAGACTCACTTTAATTTCTACACAGAGCACCGGTCCCTTGCCGTAGGCAACAAGGTGGCTGGGTAGGATAGTTGCATCGGGACAGGCGAGAACACGATTGGTTTGCACATCCACATCGCGGTCCAGACGAAAAGCTACAAAGTAGTGCACACATCTGTTCAAAATTCCGCGTTTTCTACCATATTTCATTGGTTATTTCCAACCAAGCAGTCAATGAGGAGCATAAACTCAAATGCTACCTCCATGATTCTGGACTAAGTGGCCACAAGCTTAAATTTGCTTCGTGGTGCATTTTAACCCAAATAGAGGTAATGAAAACAAGGTAAAAAAAGGGCAAGCCCATCTGGTTTTTTTGCATTTTTCCGTGTCAATCACGTGGGGATAATCTACTTTCACTATAGGGGCGGAACCACAGATTGATCGATAATAAGTGTAAAAATATTTTGGATTGGATTTAAAAGAAGAGCCACAGTTTTTAGAAGTAGATGATCGGTTGATAGACTACCTCCTGCATTTCCCCATCTTGCATTTGCACCGCGAGATAATTACCTCAAAACGGTGGTCAAATTTGCATTTTTTTAGTAACTTAAGTATCGTTAATAGCGTCTTATTAACTTCGAATAGGGGCAAAGATCAAATGCTACACGGGAGAGTTATTATTTGCCAGATTTCGTAGTCGATAATGACGACGGCGCATAACTTCTCTGGTGCAGAACAATATCGCTGGAACTTAGAGAAAACTTATCGAATCCGAGCCAATATCCAAAAAAATTACTTCTTTTAGTGTTTACATGGAATCCGATCGTTTTTACGTCACAATCGAGGGTTAGTAGGTCTAGGACCTCCATGATATTGTGACACTACCTGGTCGACTTGGTTGAAAGCGATCTTTGATTGCCTTCAGAGTGGAGGAATCGACATAAATAGATTCCTGAAACATAAAGCATTTTCTAGGTTTATTTTCTGAGGTTTTTGTATACAAAATAAGAAAAAAAACTATGAGAAAAAGCAACTCTATTGCATTCAACCACTGACGAACCAGACCATGTTACAAAATATTCTAACAGATGTGCTGACAGACATTTAGCCACCTCACAAAAAAAGAATTATCCGAGCCAACTAGACCGGAAAAAGTATTGATAGAAGGTACACATTGTATCACTCAGGTCGGATGGGTGTTAGGACGATAGCCTAGTCGATAAAAAATGTGGCATTCACACCTCTTGTGCTTACCTATCTGTTTGAGTCACCGCCACGGTAGTCAGAGGACAAAATGTTGACCAACAAATAAACTTACAAAGTGATGCACAAACCCAGGCCCGAAGTACTGGGCCATTCTGTGTTGGCCGAATAGGACGGTTATCTGATGGCTCTTTTTGAATGCACGAGTCTTCTTAGTTGGAAGCTAAAAAGGAATGGCTGAAAGACGGCATTCGTCAACCTACCACAGCTGGAAGAGACGTCTTTCGAACTCTATAGATAAGCCCCTAGGGTTAAGATAAAAGCGAAACAGAATAAGATTGCATACTTTGTTGTCTGCCAGGATGATATTGTTGTTTCCTTCGCCCCGATAGACCAGGTCATTAGGATTAATCATTTCTAAAATATTGCACATATGTTTGAGACAATTAAGGTCGCTATAAATTTTGGAATGCCAGTAATGAGATTAGAATATCAAGAAATCAACAAAAAAAGTTGGATGAATGATACTAAGACCAGGTCTTTCCACAATTGTATTATTTACGCAATTTCCAAAAGACGACGTCGGAAGAATGTATTAATTGTATCACATAAAGAGGATTTAGCAAGGCCTTTGTGCATGTTTAAGCCACGTATAGAGTTTGTCATAACTGTATAGAAGATAAGAACACCCTTAAACAGGTAATGCTAAGAAGAGAAAAAAGACGCTATAGCATACTTTTGCTCTCACAATAACTAAAGTGAATACTTTTAAATGAAAATAAGGATCGGAGTTTGCCGAGTTTATCTGCAGTCGATTATAGAACCATGGGTATATTAACAGCTCAAACCCACAACCATGACGTGAATAATAAAAAGCATGCGGCAACAACTACGAGACTCGTGAAAGTATTATGAGCAGGAGCATAAGATACCACGCTGTCAATTTCGATGCTTCATTATCAATTATTGCGATTTTTTAGATGCCTGGAACTAATAAGTGCGAGACTTAAACAGAACAGGGAACTAAGTGACAAAAAATAGGATTTACTAAAGAAATAGATTAAAAACTTATTTTACTGAAACATAGGTGTGATGCTTTATAACATTAACTGCAACTAAAAATTCCATTTTTAGGAAAAAAACTGTATACATAATAAAGTGGGAGTAAAACAAACCCGAGCAAGGTTAAAGGCTGTGCAAATACCCAACTCGTGGTAGGCGCGCTGCAGACGACGTAATTGATTGGCTTAGTTTGGTTATAAAGGTGTCGGTAGCCAGTAAAACAAACTAAATTTCTTTTGAATAAACATAAAAGTCAATTTTGATCCAAATAGTTACATTATCGTTATATAAAGCATGCAATAATATGTATAAAAAGGCAAAGGCCTAAGCGTTTAATAATGGATATAAGTTAAGAAATCCTCGGGATGCGTACGAAATAAATTATTTTTTAGCCAGATGGTAATGCAATTTTGTAATTTTAAAGCATTCGCTACTCAAAACTCGTTATTGTCCGCAGATCTCACCACATAAAGTAAGTCGGGTTTTCGAGTGTTGATAAAAACTATCAATTACTTGTCGAAAAATGATAAACATATGTTAAAAATTATATATAAAGCGAAGAAGGTATAGGCTGCTTCGAGTAGCATCAATTTTCTTGGCGTCAGTCACAAACATACTGCCCGGATTAGGTATATTTTTGCCACTTGCTCCTGCAATTTTGGATGCTAAAATAATTCACTTAGTTCTGCGAATACCTGAAAATACGATATTCCAATTTAAGGCCAAGAGCGATAACACATGATGCTCGAGGCGTCCAAGTGCTCTCCTTGACACATTATTTTATTTTTATTTCTGCGTAAAGTTATTTATTGTTTTAGAATTACTTTCGGAAGACTTGAAAAATGTGGCTAAATTTATGGAATGAACGTCGGTTCCTAAATTAAGTACATAAAAGTGCAATTTTTTCCTGATGCCAGTCTAAAAATTACATGTTGTTATGACTGGTATTATTAATTATATGTACGAGCTCTTAAATTTGCACTACTTTGTCTCGGTATTACATCGTTTGCTGGAACGGGCACAACTTAAGTTGGTCCAAAAATGATAGGTAACTAATGCAGGCTTATTTTCCATATCCCCGATTTTTGTTATATTACCTTGAATTGCCTATACAAATAATTATACATTTTAACTTATGTCAGTTAGAATGTCGTTGTCATACTCGAACGTAAATTATTTGTAATGCCTATTCACTCAGTTCCTGCTGTGCCTGTGAGAGGCTCGCCCTAATTTTTTCCTTCAATTTCGCTTTTAGTCTTCCCATCTTAAGAAATGGCGCGACTGAAGTTCATATCCGATTCGCGCATTAAAACCTAGTTCGAAATATTTCAAATAATATTGACTTGGCATAATCTTGCTTGTTATGTTGACCTCTTGTTCAAGGAAGACTTTTCCCGTCCAATAATCAATTTTTTATGGTGCCTATTTTGCTATTTATCTTTTCTTTGACTTTAAGTTTAGTCAATAAAATTCACTCAATACACCAAACTCTGAGGCATTTGCGTTGATTTCGGTAAAATGTATAGTTTCTTCTAAATATTGTCCAGTTCTTCCTTCTGATTCTCAACGAAGCAAATTATCTCCATTATCCTGGTTCTTCTGCGATCTTCCACATGGGTTTTTTGAAGATTTTCGAGGAGTTCACTAAGCCACGACTTGGCCTGATGTCTGATTACGTCGGCCACAGAGTCAAACGCATTAATGTGTGCAGCATGGCAGTCCGCCAAAATGTCCGTAAGACTGTCTTTGTCCTTAAACATCTATGGTATGGAGAAAAAGTAAGAACATCTCAAATTTGCATTGGAGCTCTGTCTAACTTACCCCCTAATTCAATGTGTGAGTGTGTGTGTGTTAGTGGTAATTTCATTTGTCTATTGTTTATGCAAACAGAAATATTTTTACAGCCTAGTCGTTGTTCAAAATCTGGATGCAAAAAATACAAATTTATAACACAAAATTATTTTTTTGATTTCTGGGATCCTGATTCTCTGGGATTTTGCTCAAAATATAAACCGAAGCGAGTCATTGGTTGCAAGATTCAACCACTGTTAACTGCTAATATTAAACAAAATCCGTGGTGATTGAAAATGCGTAGCTTCAGATACTTCTCATGTTTTTACTTTTTAAATAAATAAATGATAAATAACTAATTATTTATTTTCGCGATAAATGATTATCAGCCATTGTAATTAGGCTCAACGAGAATGCAAATTCCATCTTGATAATCTCCGTGTTCGTGTCACTTGGAAGAGAACCTAATTGGCTAGAATTAATTTGACCGTTCTTTGAGCTCTAGTTTATCAATGAGTTTCAGCCTTTCATTTTAATGACATTTTTTGTACACACTTGTTTATTTTAAAACGTTATACCATAAAATACAATGATTATTATTATTATTATTACTATTATTATTTGATTTAACACTAGGTTAGTGTTTCGCTGCTAGACAAGTTATTTGTCAATTAATCGTTTTTAAATGCCTGGAACCCAAGCGCATGCAATTTGACCAGTCCCAGCATAAATGCAGATACAAGCTCTGGAGAGGTAACTCAAAGCAACGCCTTAAACTGGATTTACCTCACGCAGCTCTGGTGTGACTTCTACCACCATGTCCTCAAGAGGGACTTTATCAAGAAGATGGAAGAGATGACTTGAAATCCTCTCAAAATACTTATCTTCTTCTTTTCGACATGTTGCCATGTTTTCCTAAAAATAAAACAGATCTTGTCGAAAGCATTTTACCGTGTAAAAAGGGTCAAATTTCGACTTTAAGTGTTATCTTAAAATGCTAATTGTTTTAAACGAATCACAACCAACTACCAATACGTTTTTTTACAATACTATGTTCTATCTTTTATTGATTATTGTAAAGCAGGACTATTGTTGGTTAATTTAGACGTCAGTTCAATTATTCCGATATAATACTGCTGTTTGTCATTGTACTGCATTTTTGGCTAAAAACAATCAAGCATACAAAATACACGACTGAGATAACATGATGACGTGAAATGTGGGGGTTCGTTAGTCAAGGCGTAATCTAAAAATTATTCTTTTGTTGCCTTCCTTGCTACCAGTTGTCCATTGGATCTCACATTGCGCTAAATTCCATCCAGACACTGCCCTCAAGAACACATCTCTAAATTTTTTTTCACCTACATGTTTTATGCAATGAAAACTCCCTATATCTGGTCGTTCATAGAGCTAATGACATCGATTTTACCAACTTAAAGTATTGGTTTTGAATTTAAAGGGTAAAGCCTGAAGAACTTCTGTGTGTCTGGCTTGACTTAATCTCACCTCAACAGTTTGAATAAATTGGTCGACGTGTGTTGTGATTGTTTGCTCAAATGCTTTAATATTTTCGTCAAGCTGATCTTCCAGTTCTGCCTCAAGCATCATCAGATCATCATGGAGGCTGTCCAGAAAATCAGCAGCTTTGTGGCCTCGACCGTGCTCCTTTTCAGTATCTTCGTTTTCTGTTATCAACTCTTCAAGCTATTTTAAAGGCCAAATAGGCAGAATAATTGTGCAATTGAATATCAAATGCGTCTAACTATATCAAATTGTCTATCAAAGATGAAATTAATACTTAGAAGCCTTTATTTGAGTTTAAAAATTCCTCATAAAAACAGTGTTTTTGAAAAATATTAACAGAACTAGTAACATTAGAGTCTTATTCAAGAAAACACACTTGCATTTGGGAGACAAATAACTATTTGCACAAGTGGCATCTTCAAAAATTTCCAAACGTACCTGATTCTTTCGCACGTAATATTTGTTTATTGCGTCAATTGATTTTTCTTTTATGTATTTCTTTAATTCAAGAACAAACTCTTCAAACAGTTGAACTTCCTCGTCACGGGAATGTTTGGATTCAATCCCAGCCTCATAAATTTTCGCAATTACCGAATCCACGTTTTGTTGGAATGTTTTACATTTAGGATTTTAAACGTAACTTGTCAACGGATTTATGTATTCAAATATTTCAGACCTTTTCTGTAAGTATAACTTGAGTTTAATTTTGATTAGTTGTGTAAAATGAAGTAGACTAAAATTTTATGCCAACTAATCTAATCTATCCTTTAGTCGATAGAAAAGGATATTCATCAAAAGCTTCCACTACTCCTGGAAGATGGCTTATTGCAAGATCAAATCTATTCAGCGAAGAATTTAGAAATAGACTGCTTTCATTTAGCCCTTTAACGAAGGCTGCATTATCGTTTTCCTGCTGATCTCTCTTGGCGTATTCCGAGGCACGCTTTTCTGCCTCCAATTTTTCCTGTTCCAAAAGTTTTCGTAGCTCTATTTTGTACTTTCCGCAGGTCATATCGCCCTAAATATTGGAATTATTATATTGCCCTTACATCGTATGCTTCACAAGACTTATCATCAAGATATAGCAAATCAGGGAGAAACAACAAAATAAAATAATGATAATCTTCCTGTGAACAAAGAGGATTAGAGCATAGCTTGAGGCTTCGAAGTGAATAACAGTTTCGCAGGTTGATTATCTAGTGCAAATTTTGTATTAAAGTAAATTACCTCTGTTAAATCATTTAATTTATTTTCATTCAGAAATAGGATTTCCAAATTTTTAAGGTGGTTAAGGACATTTCCGACTTTGTTAATGCTGTTATGGCTTAAAATTAAGGATTTCAAATTAAATAGATTGGCTATTCCTTCGATTTTGCAAATTTTATTAAAGGACAAATCTAGAAGTATGTTAAATTTTACTAAATCATAGACTGAAGGTACCTAGGACTTCGAGGTTATGGAGATCCTCAAAACCTTCCATTACTTTAATGCAATTGTTATTAAGTCTTAAGTGAGTCAGATTCTTTAATCTGCAAAAGCTCATAATTTTACAAATGTCTGATTTTTAAAATAATTAGATGCCTGCTTTTAAATTCCAGAGTTAGTTCTTTGACAGCAGAAGAATCAAGCTTATCGCCATTAAAGGGAGTTTGACAAACTTCTAAAATGGCTGCATCTTGTATCATCTGCTCCGTAATTACTCCAGAAGTCATTTTCCATAAATCTCATTATAAATTGCGGGGCGTCAAGGTCAACAAACTCACTTAAGCTATAGGTTAAATGCAACAATAGAGAAAAGGTATAGCACTACGGGATGTGAAGACTTTTTTTAAAATTTATTACAATTATTGTAATCCTCAAATAGAAATTTCGCACTAATTATTTTTTACCTGTTTCTTATTTTGTTAGAAAACCTAGATTACCGACGAAGGTTTTGTGTATTAACGATTAGCAGAAACAAATTTCAGTTATAAGATATCACTGTACAAAAATCTCGGGTAAGATGTCCAGATTTCTATAGAAAGTCAGTTTTATGCAATTTCGGATTTTGCCCGGATCTCAGCATGCAAAAATTTTCATTTTATTGTTAAAGAGATTCATAGCAGTCGCTTATGTAGCAGTTCAAAAGGATGGAAAAGTTTCGATGAGATGGCAAAAATTATCGCGACTTATCAGGTGGAAAATTAGTAAAAATACACATGTGTTGAGTATCAATATGTCAAATAGCAAATATGGAAAGATTTTGTCCTGTTCAAAGGAGGTCACTTTTCATTCAATTTAAATAACTTTTGTTTAGGTTTCTAAATGTTGAAATTCATTCTTGTAACTAAGCGGTGCAGAAAAAAGTAACCTCTATTTGTATCCATTGAAGTGAGTCTGTGTCGTTTAAAAGTTACAAAAACTCATTTGTTTGATTGTTTCTCTGTCTTTTTTTCTTTGTTTATTTTGAAAGCGCCTTTAATATGCTTGAAAGTCTTCTATCTAAAGCTTTTAGACAAAACGAATAATTTCGAATAAACTTGCAATTCAGTTGCGTTATGTGATTTAAAGCAGTACATTTTCAAATTATGTTTATAAGTTCGTGCTGATTGCATTCGAGAAAGGTAGAAATTTAGTCACGAAATCCATTAAATTCTCTTAATGGATTTGGAGACTGTAAGGTATATTTTGTCATTACTTCTGCACATGAGCAAGTCTCTGTCTTTTGTAAATTTTAGAGATCTAACAAATTTGTCATACACGTATATGGGCGTTCTTGCCTAGTTAAAACTAGATGGTACCATTATTTAAATTTTTAAGGTGTACAAAATTAAGACGTTTTTTTAAAAAAATGTTCTTGAAATTTTAATTTCCTTATTACGATTTTAAGGTGTGGTGAATCGCAACCGCTTTTTCCAAAGGGCAATGAAATTTGAATATATACGACTGTGAAAATGGAAGAAATATCATCGTTGATTAATTACCTCTGTTTAATGCAATCAAAATTTGAGAAATTCTTTGTTTGATGCTGACCCCTGCTGTTGAAGTTACAAAGCAGCTCTCACGTGAAATGCATGAACAACTTTATACAATCGTATATCAATGTCCATAAATAGCAGTAAGAGAGACCTCTGCATGCTCGACAAATGCTGATAGAATTTATCTAAGCATTTAGATCAAAAATACTCTTGACTTAAATAAAATTATCACGTACAAAGTAACGAACTAGATTGACCATATTTTCATCACAGGTCTCTGTATATTTCTAAGAAACTGATTAAGCGAAATCAAAAATATATTTTTCCGATAAGGTAAAAAATGACAAAGAACATACGCTTGAACTTTCAAAAATGTATTCTGCAATTTTTTAGTTAATTATTTTAGTCGCTCCACGAAAATACCGGCATTTGCATCGAGCCTTAATTCAAAAGGTCGAGATTTTTTTTCTTAATTCAAAACCAGTTTTGCTATAATACATACTCTAAAGACAATATATATGCTTTCAAATATCCTGTTTGCCGGTAGCATTTATTAATAAATTTGTTTTAGGCAATTTTATGCAGAACACCAGAGTCTAACTGCTATGACTTTTGTTACACATGTCAGAGTTTTATTTTTGCATTGCAGTGTATCATTATTTTCAGGCAAGTACACTTGGTCTAGAAATTTTTGCAAAATGCAAAAACGGTTGACACAGTTTGTTTTAACCAACCATCCGCTTGATATACATTTCCATCGTCGAATAAGGTTAATTGCCGCTATTTAATTTGGATCACATTTTGGCCTTTGCTCTTCATTGGTGGCATTTTCCTTTAAATGTATGCTACTCTTTTAAGTTTTTCGTTAGCTTTTTTATTCCTAATCTACACATTACTGCCTTTGGGATAGCCTAAATCTATTTGCTCTAACAAGTTATACGGTGCCTAATGGATCTATTGCCCCCAGTGAACAACATCACGGAATAAATCCATTGCTTTTAAACTTAACTGTGGAATGTCACCATGAGATTGTATGATTGATGGTTGTATTACTTAACGCGGTTACAGCCGATTTCATGTTTGCAACAGATTGCTGCGTGCTAAATCACCAATTCTCTGAATCCACCCTTATAGGCCTTATTCTTGAATGACAAATTCTATATGTACATACGTTTTTGTAACTAATGACGAGCCATCAAAAGATGCAGTCTTCTCCATTACGATTAATCCAAAAATATTCCACTAAGTCGTTCTTGTTTATAGATGTACCAGAAGTCTGTATAAAGCCTGGCTTTTTCATCTGATCCAAGCAATATTGGTGCTGTTTAAGATTGCCTGATTTTTTGTAGCCCCATTCTTTAATTTTTGCTTTCCCGTTTTAGTGGACGCATCATGGAATACACAACCGATATTGCTTGTGACTCGCAGCAACATATTGCTAACTTTTGGGAAATGGCTAAGCAGGAAGCCGAAGGGTTAAAACCTGATCAGAATTGTTTCAAAACCCAAGATCTTCCGTTGGCTCGCATTAAGAAAATTATGAAGCTGGACGATGACGTAAAATCAATGGTTTGTCCTTTTATCGACCCAGCTTACGATCTCCCAACTTTTAGATGATCAGTGCCGAGGCCCCCATCCTGTTTGCGAAAGCAGCTGAATTATTTATTCGTGAATTGACGCTTCGAGCTTGGATTCATACGGACCGTAATCGGAGGCGCACACTTCAGCGAAACGATATTTCCATGGCTGTCTCGTATGGAGACACGGATCAATTCGATTTTCTAATCGATATCGTGCCTAGAGACGAAGGACGCGGTCATCGAAGGGTAAGATCCTAGTTATCTCTAAATCGTCATTTGCATTAACTAGCCGTATCGGTTATGAAGGTGACATTCCGAGCAATATCTAACCTTAATGCGTCAATACGTGGCATAAAACAATTGTGTATCGGCAGTTGATTGTGGGCTACGTTAAGTCTTCCTCTCTCTATGTTACAGGATTCTTAAGCTCCTCGTTTTGTGCGAAATATCCTACAGAAAAGTGCTTCGGATAGACAAAACAATTGAGAGTTTATTTTTGTAGCCTTTGCGTGTTTGTATGGCCCCACCCTCTTTTCGTCCGTTGTACTTGCCCTGTGCTGAATCGCTTGCGTTTTCTCATACGTCAGCTGTTACTCGACGTTGCGTTTGTTGAAACTGTTGTCGCCAGCGGTAGTATTTCTGTATCCCCGTGCTTATATGTGGCAGTAGTTTTTAAATAAATTCTACCCCACTCTGGAGTCCGTGTTGAAACTTTAAAAAGATGGGCCAACCTGCTTGACATCCGTCGCTCCAACCAATCAACTGACGTCACCGCTTTTTGTCTGTCTCCAGCGCTCCTCATGGTGTGTTCCCTCCTGAAAGAGGCTGTTTGAATTCCATTTCGTGCTGCTTGACGATTCTAGGGCGGTTTCAGAAAATGTTCTGGTGCAAATTTTAGCCGCGAACTCTATTCTGTCAGGCTGGTGGCACGCCATTTCCTGCATTCATGTGTGCAAATTAGGTTGACCTGGGCCGGTATTCAGGTTGACGCACACGCAAATGACCTCTTTCGTCCATAGAGTTCGCAGGTAGACGTTGACTTTGATGTTCCTCTACTCCGTTCCTCTGTGGCTGGCAACTTCAATTCAATCCTGTTGAAAATAAAAACAGTAGCGTGTTGGATAACCACAAGTCCTGGCGCGAACATTTGTAGCCGAATTTTGGTCACAGGAGGTTGATTACAATGAGAGGCTTTGTACCCTAGATGTAACTTCCATTTTTAAGCGCTTCGATTACGCGTTCTAATCTACCGTGAGTCGGAAGTAATCTCGCTTACTCTGGAGTGGGAAAAGAGTTATAGTGCCTGCCTGCAAATGCAATTTTAACGACACGCTGCTCACCACTAGGGGGGTCGTTCGTTGCGCGTATTTGAAATGCAGATTTGCCACTCATTCCGAAATACCTGAGTGCTCAGATCACGTGAGGCAATTGTAGGTTTAATGTATGTTCTCAAGCCACGCTTTCAATCACCTGCGTGTGTGAATCCACCAATCTGCATTTTCAGAAGTAGCCAGCAAAAACAAGTCCTCATTTTGCGCTACCGCTGTGATTAATTACTCCTTACGAGGCCCACCTTGTGTCAATACACTACCTAACAATTCCGGTTTTGTGGCTTAGTGCAAAAGGATTAGTGCGCCTTCACTAAGCAGCTCCCCAGTTCGCCGTCTTTGGGGGTGCGTAAAACGCAAATTGAAAAAAAATTTTAGGAATTACACGTGGGCAGTTTACTTCCTAAACAGTTCGTTGTGTGACTCTGCGGTTGCCTGGATGCCTGCCAATCGGATTAGTCAAGTTAGCCCAAAGCCTACCTTACCCGCTTCCAGTAAAAACAAGGCCTGCTCCACTTAATTTCGACAATCAACCAGGAAAACCTTAAGCATAGAAAGAGGAGAGTGGTGTTAGCTTACCACGAGTTGACCGCAAAAAGAGGATGCGCAGGTAGTAAGACGCGTGTGTGGTGTGCGGCGGGTCGATGCCGCTTACCCGAGTACACACAAACGCACACATTCAAACATCCACGTGTGTGTGTGTGGGTGATGCCTGCGCCGTGTAGATGAAGTCGTGATTTAATGATGTTCGTGCTTGTGCGTTGTCGCTGCAGCCAACCACTCACAAGACACTGCAGGCACTGTGCGGCCAGTAGATGCTGAGAGAGAGCGAGTGCGATTAACCTCCCAATCACTTATGCACTATAACCTGACCCAGCTATCCAATCGCTACCTTCTTTCTTCTGCTAAACCTAAGGGCTCATTGGCTAGCGGCACTGTGTTGTAGACCTATACGCTCTCTCTCCGTCTCTCTACATCTCGCAGGGGGTTTCTAGTCCGGCGTTACTTAACCACTTTTGGACTCGTATGTCTGAATTTACCTAGCTTGAAACTGTATGATGATTTGCAAATGGAAAACTTCTTGTTACACCCACAGGTGCCCCAGATCACCACGGCAACTTTGTTATTTTTCCTTGTTGTCGTATTGGCCCTGAGTTTCCTGAGTTCAACTCCCTCACCAACTATTCCATTGAAGTTTGCCTATAAGAGGTTCTGTGTTAAAATGGTTAACTACACAGTCGCCATAGTAGTTGGTTTCGTGAATTCCTCCCACGCATATCTGGTGATTGCTTTGGTGGGCTGTCTGCATTTCTGCTTGTCAGTTGACTCACAAGCCGTGCTCTTGTCTACCAGTCTTGTTGAGGTTTCAAATGTTACCTCTGATTGCTCTGACCATCGATGCTGCATTCCTCGTCCGAAGTTATCACTATTTCCACTAGTCCTGCTTGAATGTCCCTCTGTGAATCCGTTCTGTGCCTTCCGTGGTCGTCCGTTGTCAACTTTTGGCCTGTCCACAGCTGACCGCCCTTAGTTGCAGTGGATGCCAAACCTTCTATCTCCAATCGACGCCGCAGCGGTCGGCCTGTGGGATTTGTCGCCCAATTTCCCTCTCGCGGAAACTGGTGGCGCGGGGGAGTGAGTCATCGCAAGTGGGCGTGTACGCAGTCCCACATGCCCCGATGTTTTGGACGCTTTATGCACGCACACACACACGCACACGAGTCTTGTAAAAGCCGTTTGGGTACCTTGGCGTTTGCGGGCAGTCATGCCTCAGTGCTAGCTCTCCTAAGCTATCTTGTCTTGTTGTCTGTGGTTTACCATTGAGTCCCCTTTTTTTTGATAAATCGTTTGGGGGAACCTCAACGTACACTTTTTAGGCCCTTACAAATGTGGCGAGGCTTATATACTCCTGTTGATAGCTGTTCTGATTGTGGTCAAGTAAGATTTTCCGATGCTGCTACAGCAGATGAAACTACCGCAATCAGACGCACAGAAAACGCCATTTTGATTTGCCCGCGTTAAGAACAAACAACATGTATCTCTAAACTGATTTTGTGCTTGTATTTTCAGACAGGGCTCTGAGTCATTACTGATCCGAAGAAAGTTGAAAAGCATCAAGGATACTGTTAGACGTGTTGCTCTGGTGATGTAAACTGACTTTGTTGTATGATAGCAATATGAATATCGTGATAAATGTGTACTTGGGGACATTCTAACTCGCCCACTTGGGTTATTCGTAGTCAGAAGTAACACAGACGCGAACTGTCGTTCTAGGTCGGTCGCACATGCAGTGTCCGAGGTCACACGTATTCAACTTCCCACCAACAACGCTGACGTAGTCTTAACCACTTGAATCGGAAGCTCCGTTTGCAGTTTCCAATTGACCTTAACAAGTGTTTGTTTATCTTACATTGCTGGTTGTCATTGTAGGGCTGCATTGGCTCAATTTCGACTACTTCTGTGCCCACCTTGGCTTGTCTCTTTTCTATTACCTGTTAATACCGGGTAGTGAAGTTCAATTTCACGAGGAGAGATGTCTGGCTGATCTGGATCTGTGGAATTGAGCTGCCACCCCTTTGGACACAGCTCTAATTTCATATTTAATCTTCTAGTCCCAGCAGACGCACACCCAATCGACACTTCAACACATGGCGACGTCCTCATTGGTGCAACAAACCCAGGTCCAGGTGGTTCAACAACAAGCCACAGCGGACGATGTGTCGATCAAGACGGAGACCGCAGGAGCGGCCACCGCCACGTTAGTGGCCGGAGCTGACGGCACATTGACCACGGTTCCCGCGGGTCAGCCGACAGTCCAGTTCGCGACCGTCCAAGGTGCCACAGCCGCTGCCACCTCCGGCCAGCAAATTCAGTATGTCATTCAGCTGCCCGCCACCAGCTCGTCGTCCAGCGGCCAGCCCTTTCAAATCCAGATGCTCCCTCAGCAATTTCAGGTGAATTTCCCACTTGCTAGTCGGTGTTATTGAGGCTCTGGTTGTTAGGTGGTAGTTAGTGCACTGGGAGAGAAGCTGGGTTTTGGACCTAGACTAACCGACTGACTCGACTTCCTCATCGCAGACGACAAGCACCGACGCCGTGGCCACTGCCCAGGTTGGCGGAACCCTCATCGCCGGCACCTCCGCGGCAACGGGCGGTCTCCAGGTTGTGCAAGTGGTGAATTCACAGGGCCCTGTTCATCCCTCTTCCTCCACCGCCGCCGTCACCACCGGTGCCTCCACTGACGCCACCAACAAACTTCAGACGGTGCACGTCCAGGTAGTGTCCTGCTCTTTGAACCTGTTGTACCTGTGTAGGGTGTACACAGCTGTTCTGAGCTACGATTGGACAGGCTCAATTTGTAATTTTCCCTACATGTATTCTGTCTAGTAATCTACTCGACCGGTAATATGATGCATTATTTCTAAGAGTTTGTCCCGCATATTTTGACAGATCGGAAGGGGCTGAACTGAAATCTTGGAAATGATAGAACAGAATCGATAGCGGGGGCTAGCGGGTGTGCCGCTACGCGTGAGGATTGCAGAATCATGCTTTCGAACGAGTTTCGTCCACGTGGTTTGTCAGTAGTTGTGAAGGCGTGCTATAATCACTTCACCCCAAACGTGACGTTTACCCTTATCACCTAACAATGTGTTAACTAAAAAAACTGACCTGAATTGAATTGATACCTCTTCCTTGTTCCGTTTTCTTTAGTTATCGGATCTTGCATCGGGCGTAAGTGTTTCTTCGAGCAGTTAAATAATCAGGAAATTCATCATCCTCCTCCTTCTCCTCTTCATCCGCCTCCCGTTTTCATCGTCTTTTCGAAAGTTTTACAACGTCCCTGTCGCTTTTGTTAATTATCGCATGACTCATTCCCTACCCCCGCCCCTCCCCCTCCTGCCCCCGTTTCACACTCCCCCTTTTGCTGTA